AGAGAGAGAGACAGCGAGAGAGGGAACACAAGCAGGGGGAGTAGGAGAGGGAGAAGCAGGCTTCCCTGCAGAGCAGGGAGCCCGATGCGGGGCTCTATCCCAGGACCCTGGGATCATGACCTGAGCCAAAGGCAGACGCTTAACAACTGAGCCACCCAGGTGCCCCTCATTCTCACCCTTTTAAATTCCACATTATTATGGAGCTATATTTATTAAGGTAGAAGGAGAGAATATATTTTATTTGGCAGTTTGTTACCTTGATTCAAAACTTATAGTTAAACATCAATATGTGGACCTCCATTAGTACCCTGCCCCCTGCTTTGCAAACATTAGGGCCAAGCCTTTCCATGGTCATATCATTCTCCCTTGAATTAAGGGTAATGGTAGTTGGAGGTGGGAACTCTTAGCGATGAGATACTTCTCATATTTGGAGTTGTCTTAAATTCACAGCTAAGAGACAAAGTGAAAAAAATTAAAGGGTAAGTGATCTGGGTATCTATAAAAGGCCGTTACATTGAGGGATAATGGATAATATGGTCTGATGACATAGCCAGGGTTTATGCAACCATGTCTGAGGTAAGATTCCTTATTAGCACACTCTGAGATGGGGATATCTGTGTTGGTGATTTATTGAAAGGTTGTGCTTATGAGGGACCTGTGGGAAAGTGAAGGAAGCAAAAATAAAAGGGGAGGGGGAGAAAGTAAAGAAAATATGCATGGATGTGCATGCCTAAGCCTCGTCCAATAGAGAGATCTGGGAGCATCACAGAATTGTCCCAGCTTGGGTCCAGGTGGCTGATTTTTGTACCTCATATTAGTTACTGGCCTTAGGCTTCTTCCTCTCTCCCAAGAGAGGTTGTAACCTCACAGGCATTTCTAGGAAGCTCTTGTAGGTTGAGGACAATTCTCCAGGGAACAGTGTAGCTGAGAGCCCTTCCTTAGCAACCAAGCTCAGAGCTGTTGTAGCCTCTACCACAAGGAAAGGACAATGGCCTGAAATTGGCAATGTGGAGCAAGGGGGGGACACTTACCTTACCTCCAAGCCTGGTGTCCTAAAGGCTGAAAAAGAGAAAATGATTACCACTTTAGCAAGGGGAAACAAGGTCATGTCGGGAGAACTGGATTTGGTAAGAAGGCTACTTGCAGCAAGGAGGGGAGGGAACATTCAGGGAAGATATGGGTACATAGGGAAATGTTTATTGAAGGACCCCAAGTCCCAGAGGCTAATGAGGAAGAGCATTAGAAGAGGAAGTCTGAGTCAAAATAGTACAGATGTATATAGGAGTGAATGTCTGGGTGATGAGGGGATCTAGGAAGTCTTGGGCTCATGATGATAGCCAAATCTGACTATTCATTATTTAAAATTTATTTTTACAAACAGAGATGAAAAAAGCCAGAAAAATCCCAGAAAAATGGACCAAATCCTAATACATGAAGCTGAACATAATAATCTACTCAAGACTTTAGAGAAGAACCTGGAAATCCCTCAGGAGTGCACATATGCTAATCAAAAAGCTATAGACACTGAGGTCAGTGCTTGGAATAAAATACTCCTCCAGGAAATGACTTCACTCATCAACCATTATTTCTCAGTTATAGACAGTGCTGAATGTAATAACTAAATGCAATCTCTAATAGAATAGAATTCTCTCTCTGTGACCTTCTACTTACACATAAGTCTTGAGGGCTCTGCAGAGCATGTCTAAAAAGGACAGGAGAAGTTTTATAGGTTATCTCTTGCTTGTTAACAATTAACTCCTGAGAGGGTCTGTCCTTTTATTATTTTTTCTTTCACAGAAAGGCTTTTTCACAGCCTGAATTCTAGACTTAAATCCCATACACCTCATTTGGATATTTGGGTACATGTGCTTCAATACCATTTAAATAATGTACACAGAATTTGTCAAAATCAGAAGCTGTCTATATTATAGTTAAAACATTCTACCAAAAGACATTGAAATATAAAAGCGCTATGCCATTTTTTCTGTAAATTTTTTTTTAATGAAAACAATTCATGCTTATGGTAGATGAATTTGAAAATACAAATTAGTAACAATAAAAACAATGTCATCAATCAGAAGTAAACACTGCTCTTCTGGATGAACCCTTTATATCTTTTTCATTTGTGACTACACACACACACACACACACACACACACACACACTCACACACACAGTTCTATTGTATATTTTTTTTTGTAAACTTCATAGTTTCTTCCTTTTTAATAACCATGAATTTATATCATCATTTGAATGGCTCCTCAATATTCCATTGCGTGGATGACTGCACAACCGAAGTGTCTTTTGCTTTTGGATGCTTAGGGTTTTTTTTTCTTTCTTTTTTTTCTCCCTCTCATAAGCAGTGTTGGTTTTTGTACGTATAACTCTCTACACAAGTGGATTTCCCCCCTAGGGAATGGTTATTTTTTAGGCCATTTGTGACTGATTTACAGTGAGAAGTAAGCACTCCCAGACGATATGGGGTAAGGAGCCCACTCTGCCTTCCTGGAGAAGTCTCTCTCTCTCTCTCTCTCTCTCTCTCTCTCTCTCTGTCTCTGTCCCTAGGGAGAACTTGTAAGGCTCCAGTAGAGAACTGACTTCCCTCAGGCAAGAGCAGGTAATACACTCACACCTCCTCTGGGTGTTTTGTCTACTGTTTTGTCAGTACTATTCACCCCTGAAGTGGGGTGAAACAGTGAGAGACAGTCTGTTCAAAAATTTGGGAATATTTCCTATAGTTACTGTTGCTGCCATAAAATGTTCTTTGTACTCATGTAAAGTCAATTTCAAGTAGTTGCTTTGTTTAGTCAAACTATTACACAGTATGACTGCTACTTTCTTTAAATATTTTATTCTGATTTAAATTAAACTTAGATAAATGATCAAAATCCCTAATACCGTTGTTTCTTTCAGACTTTGCAGATGGTGTTTGATCGAGTAAAATTCACAAGAAAGGGTGCAGAGCTGAAGGCTTTGGCAAGAAGGGGTATTGGATATCATCATAGCTCTTTAAACTTCAAAGAAAAGCAGTTAGTTGAGATTCTTTTTAGGAAAGGTTTTATTAGGGTAGGTAAATTTTTTCATTCTAAAAGTTGAAGCTGTGTCTGTATGAAAGTGAATGTCCATGAAAGGAGAAAATAGTAACTTTTTTTCTCATCTAATTATATTTTTATTCATTATTTTATTATTTTATCTTTTATTTTTTTTTTACAACTCATGATATCACTGCATATCCTTCCATCTCATTTAATTGAGGGAGGGGGTTTGAAGTTTATCATGTAGTTTATGTCTTTTTCAAGAATTAAAATATTCCCTAAACAGATACAGATATTTCTGTAATGAAGTATACCTATTATGATCTTGGAACAACAATCCCTTGCTTTTTCATTTATAATATCTAGGGAATTTTGTCAGCTGTTCATATAATTTTGGTTACAAACATTCTTTCACGGGCTTAGAGGGCACTTATAATAGGTTTTGGTCAAATCTGTTCTCAGTATAATAGCTGAAGTAAGAGCAAGAATGTATCACTTCCTCAGGGCTCACTGCATATTTTGGCAGTTTTTAGATGAGTCACTCCTAAATGCTCTCTCTCTCATCACTCATAGTGGACAAGAGGAAGATTACCTTAAATAGCTTGAAAACCAACCCTTATTATGTTTTATTTATTATCTTACATGAGGATGCATGGGGATAGTCTCGATAAATCTACATGGAGGATTAACATAATTTCTTAGTTTAGATCTTGAGTAATATTTAAGAATAGCCTCTGAGTTTTTTAAATTATCCATATAAAATTTTTTGTATGATGTATATTATATCTGTGTATGTGAGAGAGAGAGAGTGAGAGAGAGCTCAAAAGCAGGGGGATGGAGAGAGGAGAGAGTAAGAGGATAATACACTAGGTAGTATTTTTTAAAGATTTTATTTATTTGAGAGAGAGAGAGAGCACAGAGGGAGAGGGAGTGGGGGAAGCAGACTTCTCGCTGAGAAGAGAGCCCGATGCGGGGCTTGATCCCAGGACTCTGGGATCATGACTTGAGCCGAAGACAGACGCTTAATGACTGAGCCACCCAGGCACCCCTCTAATTATTGACTTTTAAAGTAAATAAAAAACTTGTTATTAGTTAAGAGAAAAGCTAAGCAAAGTTGTTAATAATATATTTTGGTTTTTATCCAGATTAAAAAATTACCTTTTAACTTTCCTCAATATTTTGCCTTCAGCTCAGGTCCTGATTCCAGGGTCCTGGAATTGAGCCCTGAGTCATGCTCCCTGCTTGACAGGAAGTCTGCTTCTCCCTCTCCTTCTGCCCCTCCTTTCCACTCAAGCTCTCTATCTCTCAAATAAATAAATACAGTCTTTTAAAAAAAAGGTCAATAACTAGAGACAAAATTTTCTACATGCTTATAAATTGAGGAAAAGAGGCACACCTATTTTGATCGGCATATCTTGTGTCTAAAATAGTATATGTTAAATAGTAGTGGCTTAATTACTATTGATTTAATGAATGAATAATTAGATCACTCTAGAGAAGGCAATATGGAAATAGTGATAGCTTTGTTATAGAGAGCACATTTTAAAAAAGGTATTTATTCTACTTATAGTATAAATTTAATGTTCTTACTTTTCCCATTTTTGTTTTTATTAAAGAACTTTAGAAAAATAGTTAATAAATGGTGTGTTTCATTTTCACAGATGTATAGGTCTCAGTTACAGAATAATTAGAGAGAATTATTCCATATACTTAAACATTAACATTAAGCCATGGCATATATGACAATCAATGTAAAGAGAAAGAGAGGGCCATTGGAAATACCCAACATTATATGAGAGAATGAGCAAAAGTTGGATCATTTAAGAAACTTAAAGTTTGCCCTACTCCCATTTTTGGTCAGTTGTCAAGGCAATTCAGGGGGGAAAAATGAAACTTTGTTTTGCCCTTATTACAAGATATGTTATCCCCATAGAAATAACCTTCACAAAGAAATTGTAGTGGATGAAGTAGGCAATATCCCAGAAGGTGGTTTGTAAAAGTATTATTACCCTGCCATGAGGAAATTCCCTTTTTTAGTCATTCATTAAGAAATAGTTACTGAACACCTGTCATGTGCCAGGTACTCTTGTCAGTGTGGAGGTCCAATATCAAATAGGGCATCTGTGGCTTTCCCACTGCGGTTCAATGGAAGTGCAGAGAGTTTCAGTAACTATATGGCATTCTACTGAAATGCTCTTTCATGAAGAATTGATTTATTCTCTTTCTAGGTGGTGACAGCTACTGGGACACTTGCTTTAGGAATCAACATGCCTTGTAAATCTGTGGTTTTTGCTCAAAACTCAATCTATCTGGATGCTTTAAATTACAGACAGGTATTGCAATATGCATACACTCACTATTTCATTATGAAGGTGCGGCCATAAAATGGTAAAAAATGTGAGCTGTTAGTTTACGAATATATTGCAATTCATGTGCTAGCACACCTTGGCATTCATTCGTGCCTGACTCTCTTGATTAGCTGTAGTCTAGTGGTAGGCACATGAGCGCAGAATTATGTGGCCCTCACCAACCAGATATGTGACTTTGGGTGAGACAACTGAACTGCCTGATCCTTTTTTTCCTATCTCCAGAATAGGGGTGACAGTTACTACCCCACAACATTTGCAAGAATTAAATGAAGTTATTTGTAAGAAAGATACATATCAAAGGTGCTAGATGGATGTTTACTCATTCATTTCCTGTGCACATGATTTTGCACTCTGGAGTTAATACTTCTCTCTTCTTTGCTCCCAATACACAATCTATTACCAAGCCCACTTCATTATTCTCTTACATGTATTTGATTTTGCCTTGCAATTTCTGTCTTCACTATCTCTCATCATACATTCTTGGCCTTGTATTATTAAAACGGTTCTTTGGATTTTCAATTCTCCTTACTTTGCTATGTCCTATACACAGTACAGTGTGTCTTCATATGGCTTCCCTGCTCAGGAATATTTGATGAATATTTCTGCTAGCAGCATCATTTTTAGGTATCAGCCAATATTCAAGTTTTTATCAAAATGCCCCCCTCTCTTTCTCTCTAAACACTTACTTCTTATTCTTGTAGGCCTTGTTCCTATCCAATATAACACCCCTCTTATTTCCCACCACTTTACCAACCCCTGTCCTTCTGATCTCTCTTCCTGGGGCTGTGTTCTGCATGAGCTCTCCTCTCCCATATCATCTTTGGGAATCACATAGTAGGGTTCTCCAGAACCCTATGTGTTATGATGTTTCAGATGATAAACTTGGGAGTCAAAATGCCAGGGTGTGAGTTGGATTCTCCACTTTCTGGTGTTTGACTACAAACAAGTTTCTTCTATCCCTCATGATCCTATTTCTACATTATAAAATGGAGATAATGATTATATTTACCTTATATGGTTGTTGTTGTGAGGTCTGTATAAAAACAGTTCAAAGGATTTAACACCTTCTGAGCACTTAATATATGAGAACTAATACAACTTCTATAAAGAGTTTGTTTGCTACAAGTAGAATTTCAGAATTTTATCTTACTCATGTATTCCTCAATTTGTGCACAGTTTTTATGGTGATTTGTAATGCAACACACTGGTGTGTGAGAAAGGAACAAGGGAGAGGAAGTGGGAAAGGAGAGAATTGGTGTAATTAGTTCAGCGATAAGTGAATTTGAAATTAGGGCCTAGTCTTCTTGTGCTTTGTTTCATCTATATATTATGATATAAATATATAGCACAATTTTTGGCATGAAATAAGTGTATAATAATGATAAATGTCTCATTCTCAGCTCTGTCTTAGCCATGGTAAATTTCCTAAGTGCTACACCATTGGATTTTAGTTTCAGTTTATATAATGGTTGGACATATGCACAATTTACTTGCTACAACCCCATGTAAAAGGCTCAATTCTTATACTGTGATGGAGAAAATATTTAGGGAAGTTTTACTTTGTGATTCTCTTCTGTTTCCAGATGTCTGGACGTGCTGGAAGACGAGGTCAAGACCTGCTGGGAGATGTATATTTCTTTGATATTCCATTGCCCAAAATAGAAAAACTCATTAAATCCAATGTTCCTGAACTGAGAGGACAATTCCCTCTCGGCATTACCCTGGTCCTGCGACTCATGCTGCTGGCTTCCAAAGGAGATGACCCAGAGGATGCTAAAGCAAAGGTACTGTGCTTGACATTTTCTGAGGTAGAGTCTTCACTACTGGCTTGGCTGTGGTTAGGTTTGCTCTTCTTTAGAAATCTGTAGCAATAACTTCTCAGTTTCATCAGTTTTTTATGCTTTGCAATGTCTTGCATAGTATAGGGTTGGGGCAGAGTGGGAGAATAATAATTAGTTTTGTTTGTCTCCTCTATCAGTCATAGAATTTGTGCTGGATGGGCATTTGGAATTAAAGATTACTTTTTTCATGTGTGATTGATATTGTCCTATAGTAGTTAAGGGTGCTGGCTATCGATTGTATTTTATTTTATATTTTAAAGATTTTATTTATTTACTCAGAGAGAGAGAGAGAGAGAGAGACAGAGAGCATGAGTGAGAGAAGGGGCAGAGGGAGAGGGAAAGGAAGTCTTAAGCAGACTCCCTGATGAGCACAGAGCCTGATGCGGGGCTTGATCTCATAACCCTGGAGATCATGACCCTGAGATCATGACTTGAGGTGAAATCAAGAGTCAGACGTTCAACCCACTGAGCCACCTAGGCACCCCTGGCTATAGATTTTAAAAGATCTGGATTAGATTCCATTTTCAAAAGGAACACGATTTGTTGTGATCATTTTGTAAGAAAAGAGTTTATTTTTTGTAAAAAACAAAGTAATCCAAATTCACCATAGTGCAAAAGGTTGAAAGAAAGCAAAAACCATACCAGGTTTCATCATCCAAAGACAGTCATATTATCATTTTGGTATTTTGGCATAGGTGTACATTTGGTTTTCAAACACATATATTTGATTAGATATTGATTGGTATGACTGTAAACTTTTCCTGAAGTTTTTCCTGAGATAAATATTTTGTGTCTAATCACACAATGAAAGATTTAAAATTCATAATGAAACAATTTGGTTTTCATCCTTATGAAGATGCATTGTTTTTGTATATTGATTAGTATGCCCAATTAAATCAGATACTGTTTGTTGATGTGAGGACTCTTTCAGGACTTTCGTGATGAGTTGGCTCTTGTGTTGCTGATGGTCCTACAGAGCAGGCACATATCATTTTAGACCCAAACTTCCCCATTTCTGCATCCTTAATTTTTACTTCTGTGTTGGAGAGAAGAATACATCTTTTAGCAAGCGTTTAAAGATTTTTAAAGAAAGTTTATTGGAGTGGTTTATTTTCTTTGCCTTGGCATGTTTGATGGCATGTTTGAGAAGATCTATCTGCAATCTTCACACATAAAAGGCTCAAATATGGACATAAAATTCTTAGAATATTCTCTTTACTCATCACATCAAACTAAGACAGTTTCATTACCTCCGGCATGTACTGTTACAGTGGAGTAGACTCTTTTAGTCTCCCCTGTGGAACTATGTAATTCCTGCTTTCTTGTAGTTAATTTGATTTTTTTCTGCCTATGTATTTATATGAATCTTTTAAAAAAATCCTTATATTTAAAATTCTTTTCCCCAGGATTTCTTGTTTTGTGGGTCATTTTTTAAATTGATGTTTTAGTTATATGCTAAGAACTTTGAATTTCCATGCTTACATGAAGCATGCTCATAGGAAGCTTCATGCTCAGTTTTTAAAATTGTGTTAAAATAAAAATAACATGAAATTTACCATCTTAACCATTTTTGAGTGTATGATTCAGTACTGCTAAATACATTTGCATTGAATAATGCTCAAGTAGTTTTGGAACTAAGAAGAGATACCTTAAATTAAATCTTTGATATTTGCTTCTGTTTTAATTTGTTCAATTTCTTTTCAGGAGGTGTTATAATTTTTAAATCAAAAATTCTTTTTCTGTACTCCAATGCTATGTTTTTCTTCATTATGAGAAAACATGTGAAGTTTACCTTTCACATTGCTGATGCTGCTCTCCAGAGTTTCATTTCTGCTCTTTAGTAATACACATGTGGAATTTTAATTTCCTGAAATTCTTCACTATTTCTTATATCACTCTTTTACATATTAATAAAGTATTTTTAAAAATTATTATTTTTTATTGTTATGTTAATCCCCATACATTACATCATTAGTTTTAGATGAAATAAAGTATTTTTAATGTCAATTTATAATTGTCCATTTACCTTATGCTGTTTTGCCTTGTCTTGTAGAGGTCATATCTTATGGTATCCATTGAGGATGCCAAATAATTTTTCAAAAAACTTTTTGCTGCATAAAGAAAATAATTTTTATAGGTCAGCTCCCCCCCTTTTCTTTTGTTTAAGAGTAAAAGCCAATGTTTTTTTTTGTTTGTTTTATTTTTTATTTTTATTTTTTTTTTAAAGATTTTATTTATTTATTTGACAGAGAAAGACACAGCGAGAGAGGGAACACAAACGGGGAGTGGGAGAGGGAGAAGCAGACTCCCTGCCGAGCAGGGAGCCCAATGCGGGACTCGA